ATAATATATATATAATATATATAATATATATATATATATATATATATATAATAACATATACATACATATATATAACAGTCCGCCTTGCTGTCATAATGCTTCCTCGGTCACGTGATAAACCAAGTATTAGTAATGTCTTCAGATAAGGTCAGATAAACTTCAATTAGATCTTAATAAGTCATCTTTGAAGAATGTAGATTTTTCCTCTTCTCATCATGCTTTAAAGGATCTATTTTTTTACCTTTATCTTACTATTCCTTGTACTAGTACTTTCTTTTGTAATATATTTGTAATTATATGCATGTTAGAAGGCTTTATTCTCCATTTTATTATTGATTTTATACACTAACATTCATTAATCTATAGACATTTTTTTCTCTCTGTAATTCCATTTAAATGTATTGCTTGATTATCAATATATTTATCTATCGACTCTTATCAGTTATCAAACTTTAGATATTGATTTAATTCATTCTTTTTAATTTTTGATTTGCATCTGTTGATCCATCTCTGATGAATACTTACATATATCGGAGATTACTTACATATTTGAAAATATTTCTTATTTTCGTCGTGTTTGAATCTATCATTTGTTGATCAATCTTTGAATATTTTTGTCAGTATTCTCTACATCTTCTCTCTCTCTTCTCTCTGTCTCTGTCTCTGTCTCTGTCTCTCTCTCTTCTGTCTCTCTCTCTCTCTCTCTCTCTCTCTCTCTCTCTCTCTCTCTCTCTCTCTCTTCTCTCTCTCTCTCTCTCTCTCTCTCTCTCTCTCTCTGTCTCTTTTCTTTTTGTTTATTTTATAATTATTTTTTTTAGTGAATTATACATATATCCATTTATAAACGTAATTTTTTCCGATTTTCCAATTCAGAAATACATCTATCTCTCATTTCCTTTTCAGTACTGCACTTAGTGTTTACGAGACGAGTCAAAAAAGGTCAGGAAATAGCCGTTCAAGACGCTGTGACCTTGGATGGAAGGACAGTGTGAAAACCTGTTGGGTGAGGAGGTGGGATGGGGTGGGTTGAGATAGGAGGCAGTGGTCAATGGTGGGCAAGCGTGGGCTTATATGGGCTGACGTGGGTTGAGGTGGGTATGTTTGGGGTGTGGGAGCGGCGTGGGGGTGGTTGAGATAAGTGCGGGGCAAGGCGTGGGCATATGGGCTGACGTGTTGACGTGAGTTGGTCGCGTTGGGGTGGGTTGAGATAGGGCAGTGGGGATGGTAGCAAGCGTGGCTTATATGGGCTGACGTGGGTTGAGGTGGGTTGCGGGGGTGACGGGGGTGAGGTGGGTTTGGGGATGGGCAAGCGTGGTTACGTGGGTTATAGACGTAGGGTGAGGTGGTTAGGGCACTTGGGTTGAGGTGGGTATGCTTGAGGTGACGTAAGGTGAGGTGGGTTGAGATAGGCCGCAGTGGGCGATAGTGGGCAGGCGTGGGTTGAGGTGGGTCGGCGGGTCGGCGTTGAGGTGGGTCGGCGTGGGCTGAGGGGTGGGCTGATGTGGATTGACGTGTGCTGACATGAATGAAGATGGGATGCTGTGGGTTAAAAATGGAACGAAATGGAGTGAAGTGGGATGCGCTGGGATAACGAGGATTAAAGTGGGCAGTCGAAGCGGATTGCAGTGGGTTCAAGTGGGCTGGGGTGGGTAATGTGGATGGGAGAAGTAATCATTACTCCAAGCAGCAAAACCAATGGCTGCGATCATCTTTTAATTTATTTTCATTTTTTATTTTTGTTTATTTTTTAACCATATAAGGATTTTGTTGTTGACTGCTTGCCGTGTGTCTCTGTGTCTGTTTGTTTGTCTGTCTCTAGTTACTCTTTATCTCTTCTGTCTCTCTGCCTCTATGCCTATCTCTGTCTGTCAGCAAATCTGTCTGTCTTTCTGTCTCTGTCTGTCTGACTATCAGTTAGTCAGTTCGTCAATTAGTCAGTCAGGCTGTCTGTTGTGTTTGTCTGTCTGTTTCTGTCACTCAATCTGTCTGTCTATCTACCTATCTATCTGAATCTGTCTGTCTGTCTGTCTGTCTACCTGTCTCCCTCTCTCTCTCTCTCTCTCTTCTCTCTCTCTCTCTCTCTCTCTCTCTCTCTTCTCCTCTCTCCTCCTCTCTCTCTCTCTCTCTCTCTCTCTCTCTCTCTCTCTCTCTCTCTCTCCTCTCTCTCTCTCTCTCTCTCTCTCTCTCTCTCTCTCTCTCTCTCTCTCTCTCTCTCTCTCTCTCTCTCTCTCTCTCTTCTCCCTCCCTCTTTTCCTCCTCTCTTTCTCCTCCTCCTCTCTCTCTATCTGTTGTGTCTGTCTGTCTGTCTGTCTGTCCCTCTCTCTCTCTCTCTCTCTCTCTCTCTCTCTCTCTCCTCTCTCTCTCTCTCTCTCTCTCTCTCTCTCTCTCTCTCTCTCTCTCTCTCTCTCTCTCTCTCTCTCTCTCCTTTCCTTCCTCTCTCTCTCCCTCTCTCTTCTGTCTCTCTCTCTTCTCCTCTCTGTTCTCTCTCTCTCTCTCTCTCTCTCTCTCTCTCTCTCTCTCTCTCTCCTCTCTCTCTCTCTCTCTCTCTCTCTCTCTCTCTCTCTCTCTCTCTCTCTCTCTCTTTCGACAGATTTGTGGTTCATCAGCATTGTTATGAGCTATGAAGATAACGATGATAATGATAATGATAATTATGATGTTAATGACAATTATATCGACAATGATGGTAATGATAATAAACACTGAATTAGGAACGATAACAATAACAATAGAAACGATTGTGAATTATTGAATATAACAATAACAATGATAAGGATTTTGACCATATGAATAGTAGTAGATTTGATGATTATGATGATAGAAACGTTAGTATAATAGTGATGTAAAATCCCCATGTTGATAATGATACTGAATGCTGATAAGATTATTTTAATGATAACAAGCATGATTTTCATCCTTTTTAGAGATATTGTTATCATAATTTATCACCTTTATGATTAGCAGTATTTCTTCACGTTGCAGGATTTATGAGAATACAAGTCCTGGACCGAAATGGAAGGAAGAAATGCAAAGAAACAAAAAAGAAGGAGAAGCAAAGAAAAAAAGAGGGAGAAACGCAAAGAAACGAAAGAGGAAGGAGACGCAAAGAAACAAAAGAGAGAGGAAGAAGAAACGAAAGAGGAGAAAAGCGCAAAGAAATAAAAGAGAGAGGAGACGCAAAGAAATAAAAGAGAGAGAGAGCAAAGAAAAAAAAGAAGAGAAGGAGACGCAAAGAAACAAAAGAGAGGAGGAGACGCAAAGAAACGAAAGAGGAAGGAGACGCAAAGAAACGAAAGAGGAAGGAGACGCAAAGAAACGAAAAGAGAGAGGAGACGCAAAGAAACGAAAGAGAAAAACAAAGAAAAAAAGAGAAAGGAGACGCAAAAGAGAACGAAAGAGGGAGAAAGCGCAAAGAAACGCAAGGAGGAGGAGACGCAAAGCGCAAAAGAAAGAGAGAGGTGACGCAAAGAAACGAAAGAAGGAGTAGAGGCAAAGAAACAAATGACGGGCGCCCGATCCATGGCGTCGGGCACTCGTTTCCAAATCCAAACGCACCGCCCGGAGCCACGCCGACCGGTCAACCAGCCTCCCTCATCTCCCCCCCCCTCACGCCACCCACCCATCATCCCGCCCACACGCCCACAATCCCTCCCCCCCCATCACATCCCTCTGACCCGCGCCCACACACGCACCCCTATCCCACCCACCACGTTCTTCTTGGTCTCCCCGTTGCCTTACTTGGTTCGACCCTCCCCCACCCCCCCCCCCCACCCTTCCCCCCACCCCCATCTACATTCACTTCTGCATGACACCTGTGAGAGTGTCATGCAAATGGGCCCTTGTTTGCTGATTCACGCGGCTATTTCTCGTGGATTTGTTGTTTATGTTGCTGTCCCCGCCCACTTCTCTTCGGTGTTCGTTCTGTATCTTCCTCTTTGTTTTGTTTTTTGTTTTTGCCTCTCTCGTACCCTCGTTTCTCCTTTCCTTCTCTTTTTTTTTCTTCTATTTCTCTCCTTGCTTTCGCCTGCCCCACAAGTTGCATTCTATCCATGTTGTGTTTTCCATGTTGTCTTCCTCCTTGCTCCCCCCCCCCCCATCCCCCCTCCCCTCCCTCCCCCTCCCTCGATCTCTACCCTAATGCGTTTTTTGGATCGCCGCATGATCGGCATATCGCCCTTATCGACAGCATTAGCATCTTTATCTCTGTTCCTCTTTTATTCGTTATCCCCTATTTGGTTTCGGTTTGGTTCGCTCACTACCTTATTCTCCTGGGAAAAGTGGAATAAAATGAATAATAATGAAATAATGGAATAAGATATTGCAAAGGTTATCGTAGGGTCCGTGTGTTGTTTTTTTTTTTTTTAGTGTCGAGTGAATGAGGTTTTCTCTCTCGATCTCTGCCATGCACTGCTTCGAGGCTCAGGTGTCTCCTCCTCCTCAGACGAGTGCCTTGAGGATTCGTGCATGAGATGGGGGGGGGGAGGGGAGGGAGGGGGTGAAGGGTTTAAGGCCTAACCCCCCCCCTTCTTTCCTTTCCTTCTGAACCCACTTGTCGGTTCGCGAGTGCACGGTTCGCTATGCACTCCCCCCCCCCCCCCCTCCTGCCTCCCCCTTACTCATGCCCTATTAACATGCAACACTTTCTCGCCGCGGTGTTATTTTCTTCCTTATTTGTCCCTCTGTCGCCAGGGCATCTTCTTGCTTCCTCGCCGAGGTTAGTGTCTCACCATCACGCTGTCATTTCCACTTTCACCATCACCATCCCGGCACCATCCGACCGCACAATTGCTCCTTCCTCACACCACACCATCTCACCACCTCCTCACCACACACCTCACCCCCCCCAGCCGGCTCACTCCCCACCCTCCCCCTCACCCCTTTTCAACCCTCCCACCTCCTACCCACCTCCTCGCCGCTACCCACCTCCTCGCCCACCACCCACCCACCCGCCGCCGCCGCCGCCGCCGCCGCCACCAGAACCCACCCCACAGGTCATGTGACCACAGGGTATAAATACAAGCTGGAGCGCCGACACGTCCCGACTCTGGTCAAGTGAGCGAGGAGGCCTTATTACGTCGTCTTCCGCCCGAACAAACCGCCGATATGGTACGTGCAGTGTGGGCGCCTTGCTTATTGTGGTGGGCGGGGGGGCGGCAGAAGGAGGGGCTTTCCCGTGTACGGGCGTGATCCGCCTGTCTCCCTCGCTGTGCTGGGCAGAAATGGGTACGTACGACGCACTGTGATTCGCCCCCGACGTCTGTGCTTGAGCGGTTGTTCGTGTTCCTGCGCCTGAGCCTCCCGTGATGCCTGGCCCTCCAGCGCTCGCTCGGCCGGGGAGGGTCTGGCTTCAGATGCGGCTTGAGTGTCTTTTCGCGTCGCTCGCTGACACGGGGCGCTGATCAGGCAGCCTGTGACGACGTCGACGGGCTGGCGTGAGTGTAAGCAGGCCGTTGACAAAGCCAGCTGGCGAAACGGAATTGTTGAGAAGATAATTGAACTCTTGATTAGCGAGAGATGGATGGTGACTCCCCCCTCCCCCTCCCCCTCTCCCCGTCCACTCCAGTGTCCTCTCGTCCCCCCATCCTGCTGCCCCCACCCACCCACTCACTCCTCCCCCTCCCCTCCCCTTCCATCCTCCTTCCCCCCTTCCTCCTCCTCCCCCTCCCTCCCTTCCCCTCCCCCATCCCCTCCCTACTCCTCCCCTCCCCTCTCTCCCCTCCTTCCCATCCTCCCCCCCCATCCTCTCCCACCTCCCTCCTTCCCCTTTCCTTATCATCCTCCCCCTCCCTGGCCCCACCCACCCGAGCCCTCTCCGTCTATATCCTTCTCTGCCCAGGACTCTGCGAAAGCAGA